AATGGAAGTAGGTTCCAAGAGAGGAAGAGAAGTGAGGCTAGCAGAAAAGCTTTTTGGTTTAAAAATCCCAGATTTGGATCTTGTAACCATAGAATGAGAAGGTTGAGCAAACTGAACAGGTTGAGAAGAGGAAGAAGGAACCACTGAAGAGGAAGGAGAAGGAGAAATAAGGAGATTCACAACAAGAGGAATGCCAGGAATAGAGGACTGAGAAGAGGTAGGTGATGAAGACCCACCTGAACTAGAAGGAGAGGAAATAGGAGAGTGCAAAGGGGATGAAGAAGGAGGAGTTTGTAGATGAAGAGAGGGAGAAGAGAAATTATGAACTGAAAATGAAGTAGGAGGAGAAGTAGAGGGTGGAATATTAGGAGAAGCGGTGGGAAACAAGGATAGATAGGGAAATTCATCCTCATTAAAGGATACATTTATAGCAATGAAGATTTTCCCTGCAGAATTAAGACATTTATAGCCTTTATGATGAAGACTGTAGCCCAGAAAAACACACTTAGAAGATCTGAATCAAACCGTCTGTAGCATTTCAAACACACTTATAAGATCATGACCAGTGAAGCTGATATCAAACCGCCTGTAGCATTTCAAGGCAACATGATTCGGTTTACCACACAGTTGACAAACCACTCTGTCATTGTTACGAGGAAAACGACCACCACGGCCACGAGAGGAACGTCCTCGACCTCTTTAATTTCCACGGAAAGAAGAACCACCACGAGTAGAAGCAAACTGAGCTGAAGGAGAGCAGTCCGTGCCAGAAGCAGGGGAGGTGGTAGAGAATGCAAGCGGAGACGATGTAGCTTGATTTGAGAGTCGCATCTCATGCGTTTGTAAGGAGAACTGAACCTCAGATAATGAGATAGAATCCAGACGCGAGGTCAAATTGACAACAACCGACTCATAATCCGAACTCAAGCCACCAAGGATGTACATAGCCAGATCATCATCAGAGATGCAGTGACCAACCGACAATAACTCATCAGCAAACCCACGCATTTTCAGAATGTAATCCTCAATAGAAAGATCATCTTTCTTCAGAGTTTGAAGCTGAAACTTAAGATGAAGAATGCTTGCTTTTGATTGAGTATGGAAAAGCTGAGAGAGAACAGACCAAACGTTGGCCGCCGTGGAGCACCGGGTTAGATGACCTAACATAGGCTCAGTGATTGAGGCCAACATCCAGCTGAGAAGAAGCTTATCGGTGCGCATCCACTGCGTATAAGCAGGATTGAGAGTCGGCGATGGCGAATCATCAGCAGCAGCGGGAAGGAATTTTGCCGGCGATCGAGAATCGAGGAGAAAATCCTCAAAGCCATAGGCGCGGACTGTAGACAGGATTTGTGCCTTCCAATAGGTAAAATTGGTACGATCTAATCGAAGGGGAAGAGGAGTAAGATGCGGCAAGTACGCCGCCGAGGCCGGCGTCGGAGAAGAAAAGCCAGTCATGGCGAGAAGAAAGAAAAAAATCAGGAACCAGGAGCTATGGCGCATGATACCATGTTGAAACTCAAGATCTAAAATGATAATTTCATTTCAGTTGAATATGGAAGGCACACAGATACAGTACTTATTTATACAAAGGTAAGCTTGCACGAGTTATGCACACGTGAGCTGTCATTAATGGACTAACTAATTATATTGCCCAACTAATGTAACAGTTAAACTTGTTCTCCAATAATATATTATTTATTTTCAATTTTAAATAATTAAAAAATCTAAAAATTTGTATACATGATGTATATTTTAATCATGACTCCATAATAATAAACTTTACAAATGACTAAAAGTATCGTCATATAATGAAATTCTAATTCTTTTGTTGTCAAATATTTTAACAAATGATATGCTTCTCAATATATTCTCATTGTTTTGTTTTATCGTTGCAAAAAATAGATTATATTGTTCGTCTATATTCTAGATAAATAACACTGAAATGAAATGTAGGAGTATCAAAACAGTTTTGAATGTTAGAATTAAGTTATCACTTTTTATAGAAATATTTATAATCTCATTGGTGTATTGTGCTTGAACATATGTGCAATTACTTTAGAGGTACTTTCAGGTAATGTATGATGATTTCAAAAAAAAATTTAGCACCTCGGGAGAAGTACATGTAACCAAGATTTTGGAAAGTCAGTTTTATTTGGAGATAAAATTCATTCCCACCTCGTGGGGCGATGCATCAATGGGGTAGACACCAATATATCTAGAGGAATGTAGTAGTTTATACGGTGATAAAAAAATACCAGCAATTTTAGTGACACCGTTAGTTATTTTATAGAGATATTTATCTCTTGTTAGTAGAAGTACATGAACTAATAATAGAGTATAAACAAGATGTACCTTGTTATAAAGATCATACAATCATGAAGTTTGACTATATGTTGGGTCAGAGTGTTTCTTAAGTGTTTGAAGAAAATTGGCGTTTTGCCAAATTAATTAAGAGGAATTTTGCAATAGTATTGATGTATTGGACTCCAACGACTATGAATGTTCTTATGAGAACTTTAAAACTAAAATGAAAGAAAATCTTTGTGTTTTTATATTAGGAATTTGTTTTTATATATATATTTTTGTTGGTGTTTGTAAAACGTTATTTCACTATTTTTATATGAGGACATCATTATGTTAATTCTAAATAAAAAAATCACATATGAGTTCATTTTTTCTATATTTTACTTCATTTATGTAATGATATGTTTAATAAATAAATTAATTTATTTTCAAACTTACTCCGCGAAAATCATTCGACACCACGTGCATAGCACGTGCACTTTACTAGTACATCTTAAAAGATGCAGCAACTTTTAATAAGATAATTTTTAATAAATTTCGAGAAAGATCCTCTAAGAGTTTGAGATTTTGAAGGAGTATTATTATGTCATGGTGGGTGCAAATTTGATACCATTAAACCAAATAAGAGGAAAAAAAATAAAAAATAAAAAAATAAAAAAGAGAAAAGCATATAACTACAGAAACACATTCCAATTATTGCATATCCATATGTCCTTCTAAACATAATTTTTGGGTTCACCAAGACGTGCTTGGATATTCCAAATTATTTAACAAACAAGAGAACTACTTTTATCTTTTATTATGGAGGAGTACATGTAAGTAAATTAGTTCATTAAACATTATATACATTCCTAGGTACAAACTTGAACCATTGTACTAGTGGATTGTCTGGACAAGTTGGAAGATCATTAAGATTGTTGTCAACACAAAGGCACTCCCTAGTCACCAGGGCGGAGTTATTAATATTTTTCTCCAGACACATATATTTTCCATCTTTGACTCGAGTAGCTAATTGAAGACCAATGCTCGATACAACATTCCACTTGCTCGAGCAATCGTACGAAACACGAACGGTCTCACCGTCACTTGCCATCTTGAGACACTGTGATGTTCGAGCCAACACGATCGGGCCACCGTCTTGGTGTTGAGCCCACCGACTCGCTTTTTTGCAGTTGGCTAGAAAGACGTTGTTGTTACCCTTGTCAAATTGCACACATAGCCCACTTTGAGGATGGAACATTATGTAGTAGGTTGAACACCACGATCTCACCTCTGAATGACACAACACAAAATGTGAGATATTTATTAGGATTTGTGAGTTGATTAATCCTAAATAGTTTGCAATCAATAATCCCACTTTTCTAGAACTTGGAATCGTGTATTATTATTTGGCAAATACCCTATATTATATTTTTTATTTACGCAAAATATATGCTCTTAGCACGTTTTCAGTGAGGCTGCGATTAAACAATTCCAACGGTTAGATAACCATACTTTTTGAATAAATATAGATACTTTAAACTGAAATGCCATACTTTAGAAAATAATATAAACAAAAGGATGGCATTGCGTTTCATAAGTAGACATTTCTGTTACAAATACACGACAAGTCGACCCCCTCATCCAAAAAGAAATAAAAAAATTTCATCATAAATTGACGTGGCATGCTAGAAAAAATTGAGAAAATTACATATGTATGTCTTAATTATTTCAAATACTTGTTTTCTGATCCCATACTATACTACCAAAAAAAAAAAAAAAACTTGGAACATCATGTTCATGAAAAAAGTAAATTTAACTTTTAAAACTTTATTCATGACATATTTCAGAAGGTTCATGTGACCCCATACTATATTGAAACTTTAGCAACTAACATTTTATTACTACCAAAAAAAAATGCTTTTTCTAGTAGCTTAAGAATAATACACACTATTCATGAGATTTAGATCAACTGGAATTGCACTCCAATTAGTGACTAGACTTTTTCAGAAATCATTTCACATCAATTACGATAAAATCGATCGATTATATCTCGATAAATCGATCGATTATATCTCATGGCTATATTTGCAAATATATATTGTAATAAAAGTTACCTTGGTTCTTCTGTCTTATGACTTGCAATCTGTCCAAGAAAGTCTGATTCCTATTACCATCCCAGTTGAAGTTCATAACTCCATAAAATTCTTCTGGATTAACTTTCCCTTGTCTATAAATGTAGCTGCCTTGAAATGTCCATAATGCCCAATCAATGTCTTTCTCTGCCACCTCAGCTAGCAAGCAGGTTATATACCTGTTTTGCCCCTCATTTTGACCCCTTTGGTCCAAACCAAATTCACTTAGAAAAACAGGGTAAGGGTTACTTCCTGTTGTTAAGAAAAGGAAATTGTCCCTTGATGACTGAGTCACATTGGCACAAAATTTGTTAGTTTGGGCTGTCCACAACTCAGTGGGGAAAATAAATGTATACCAATGGGCCTCAAACACAATTTTATTTCTAAAACTTAATTGTAATGATTTTTCCTTTAGAAAAGTAAGATTAGTGTCAAAAGTTAGGCCTGAGATTATAACAAGAAATTGAGGGCTGATTTGGTGGATGGTCATAGCTCCTTGTTGCATGTATTTATACCAATCTTCCACATTTTCATCTTTACCTCGTAGCTCATTTCTCATGCTCATACCCACCACCTGCAAAATAAAATTATCGAGATCACATCATGGTCTCACCCATATATTTCATGCAAGGGCGTATTCTTATATTGTTCAATGTGGGCCTAGGCCCACACTGGAAAAAAAAAAATACTATAACTTGTATATTCATTAATACTCAAAATATATTAGATTAATACTCCATTACTAAAATTAAAAAAACAATACTTTGTGGTAACATGAATGGAAAAAAAGAGAGGAGATATGGGAGAAAAAAAAAAAAAAAAAAAAAAAAAAAAAAAAAAAAAAACACTATGATTTGGATTTTGGTGAAAATAAATCTAATCTTTCTTTTTAGTAATTTTGATAGAATAAATTAAAATTGGCATTGTAGTTAATTGTATGTGGTTTCTTAAAATACTATTTTCACATATTTAAATGTGTGTGTGACTAATAACATCATGATGGAGACGAAATCGCCCTCGCCTATTTGGCGAAATTCGATCCCCTTCGCCGGTAGAATACGATTTATTTATTACTGTATTTATATATCTTATTTATATATATTTGGTGGTTTTATTTTGAATTAGGAATTATTTGTGTCTTGCTCAAATACATAATTTTAAATATTTTAAAATTAATTATCTGGTTCATCTATTGACACGGTGACCCAGCGGTTGAACCGGTGACCTAGTGACCCGGAGACCTCCCGTGTCAATTCCCCGGCCGGGTTTAAAAATTATTCTTTAAACTTAGCTACTTTAATTGAAATATACTTGAGGTGCATTGCAATATTGTTGGACAAGAAAAATGTAATGATCTTGTTATAGAGTCATACCGAGCTGCAGAAAGTCTATGGAGCCACCGAATGGCTCCCTTATGGAGCCATCTATATATTAATATATTGACACGTGTCAAATGTGTATTTATTGCAGGGCATGTGTCAATACTCAATTTGTGAAAGACTATAGTTGGCTCCATAAGTCGAGTCATCCGATGGCTCCATATCAAAACCGTACGAAGCCATGAAAACTCATAAGAATTACTATAAAGGGTAAATTGTAAAATATAGTCAGTATCTTGTACGCAGTGGCAATAATAGCCACCATCTTTATGAATTGGCAATATTAGCCAACAACTTTCGAAATTTCGAGATTATTATCCAAATCAAACCAAATTCTACAGATAAATTGTAAAAAATAGAAAATATCTTTTTACGTAGTGGCAACAATAGTCATCGAATTTGGTCGGACATGGGTAATAGCACCAAAATTTTGAAAGTTGTTGACTAATATTGTCAATTCGTAAACATAGTGGCTAATATTACCACTGCGTACAAGATGCTGACTATATTTTGTAATTAAACCTATTATAAATGTATATTTTTGTATTTATATTTTATTACGATGTATTTTATTTCTTTTCTAGAAAAAAATTAAAGTAGCCTCCACTCATTTTATGAGCTAGATCCGCCGCTAATTACATGTTAATAGAGAATCAACTTGACATCACATATATAAATATTTCTTGAAGGAAAGAAAAAAAATCAATTTTGATTCTTCAAGTATGATTTTTGGAAGTAATAAATTAGAAAGACTTACCCCATATGTATATTTGTACGTCCTAGCCACCGCAGCCAGGCCCTGCAACCACTCGTCCGGGTCAAAATCCGGATCTCCGAAAAACCCGTTTTTGTCGTCAATCCTACAGCACCATCCGGGTAGGCTTATATGGTTGTCGAGGATAACCATTAGTCCGTACTGTCCGAGCACTATCACCACAACCTTATGAAGGGTTTGGATTTTCAGCCCCAAACTCCAAGGGTTGTTTTTCAAAATGCCGGCTTTTGCATCGCTAAGGTTGTACTTGTCGAGGGATTGTGAGACCGTGAGGTTGTAATAATCGAGACGGGTGAACATGAACGTGGGCCACGTGAACCGCACGCACGTGAACCCGTCTGCGGCTATCTGCCCGGCTATCACGTGTAAGGGCTTCTTTTCGAGCCCTTCGGCTATCATCGGCTCGAGGTGCGAAATCCAGTTGACGCACGCGAGTTTTACTCGTTCTCCGGTGTATTGGTTAACGATCCACCTAGAGCTGGTTGATAGAATTGTGGCATTGCTGATGTGAAGAAAAATCGATAGCGAAACGATGGCTTTTGTTATAGTAATATTGCTTCTCATCATTCTTTCGTTTGTATATGAGATTTTGATTTGATTTTACCTTACTTTAACTCCTATTTTGTAGTCCGAGAGCAACTTAAGCTATAGAAGTGTAACGTGTAGCTTATATTTATACACTTTAGATTCTTTATTTATTTTATTGGTACGTCCCATTTAAAGGTAGTATTTACACTTCCAGCCCCTTGAAATATATAAAATGTTAGATATTTGTCCCGAATCGTTATCTACTTGGTTTTTTTTTTTTTT